TTTATTGCAGAAAATATCTTTTCAACAAATGGTGTCAAAAAATGCAAAAAATCTTTTCAACAAATGGTATTGAAACAATTGGATATCTACCTGCAAAACAAAAAACAACAAAAACCATGAATCTGCCCTTTGTAGTATATACAAAAATTGACTCAAAATAGGTACTAGAACTAAATGTAAATAATTGTAAACTAAATGTTACACCTAAAACTATAAAACATCTCAAAAAATAGATCAAATCTTTGTGGTCTTAAAATAATTTTAGGGCTGGGGATGTGGCTGGGCTGGGGATGTGGCTCAAGCGGTAGCACGCTCGCCTGGCATGCGTGCGGCCCTGGGTTCGATCCTCAGCACCACATACCAACAAAGATGTTGTGTCCACCGAAAACTAAAAAATAAATATTAAAAAATTCTTTCTCTCCTCCCTCTCTCTCTCTCTCTTTAAAAAAAAAAAAAAAGATAATTTTAGATCTCAAGCCAGAAGCATAATCTGAAGAAGGAAAAAAATTGATAAATTGAATTTAATTAGAATTAAGAATTTCTGCTTTTTAAAAAAGTTAAGAGAATGAAGAGATAAGCCACAAACATAGAGAAAATATTTGTAAATTATATATCAAGTAAATTACCCAAAATATGCACAACAATTTCAAAATTCAATAACAATAATAATAAGTTTATTTTTTAACCGTCAAAAGATTTTAGTATACATTTTACTCAACAAGATATATTGATGGTAACTAAGCACATGAAATTATAGTACTGATATCATAAAAATGCAAATTAAAACCTAGATGAGATGCTACACACATAATACAATGTCCAAAATGGTTGAATCATTTTATACCATCAGCAGTGTATAAGAGTTCCAATTGCTCCAAATTCTTAGACTAATCATACCAACCATTCAAACATTTTGAAAGACAGTTTGTCAGGTTCTTAAAAAAAATTATACATAAGCCAGGCATCTGGATGCATGCCTATAATTCCAGCAGCTCGAGAGACTGAGGCAGGAGAATTATGAGTTCAAAACCAGCCTCAGCAACTTGGTGAGAACCTTTCTCAAAATAAAATTTAAAAAAGGGCTGGGGATGTGGCTCAGTGGTTAAATGCCTGAATTCAATCCCTGGTACCATAAAAAAATTTTTAAAACTTAAACATACACCTGCCACATGCCCCAGCCATGTGATATCTAGGTAGTTCTTCAAGATAAATGAAAATATGTTCATGCAAAGATACACATGAATATACATTGCAGCATTACTAGTAATAATCAAAAACAGTCCAAATGTCTGTTAGCAAGTGAATGGACAAATTGTGATTTGTCTATACAATAGAATATTACTCAACAATCAAAGAAATTAACTATTGCTATGTGCAACAATAATGAATCACAACATAATTTTGCTAAGTCAAAGAAGTAATACTGTCCTTCGTGAAGATTATACACTGTGCAATTCAATTTCTATAAATTTCTAGAAAAAGCATATTAATCTATGATGACCAAAAAAGTAGTTGCCTTGAAATGGTGGGAGGACAGAGGTGTCAAAATCAAGGAGAGATTACAAAGATGCACAAGGAATTGTGTGGGGTGATGTATATCTTTTCTTGATTGTGGTGATGGTCTCACAGGGATATTCATATGTTAGAAATTATTAAAGTTTACACTTTATTTATTTTCAGTTCATTGAACATTAATCATACCTCAATAAAGCTGCTATTAAACAAGTAGTTCCAGGCAAATAGTAGGCACTCAATGTTAATTGGCTGTTGACTTTCCTGGACTCTGATTGCTTGGAAGTTAGAAATGTATTCTTTTGTATATGTTTATATAATACCTAACAATTACTATGTTAGAATAGGTTTTCAGTAATGCTATTTTATGAATATCATGTTATATTGTAAATACTTAACACATATCCATTAGATTCATGTCACTTAAGGGGCACAAATATATATTTTTTCTAACACAAAGTTTTTGATTAGCAACCAAAGAGATACAAATTAAGGTAATGAAATACTATTTTAACCTTTCAATTTACAAATAATTTAAAATGATAGTATGAGTTCTCTTTATTTATTGATTGATGTTTTAATAAATAGCTCAATTTTTTTAACACAATGCCTTTATTTTTATGTGGTGCTGAGGATGCAACCCAGGTCCCTCCCCTGCTAGGGGAGTGCTCTACTGCTGAGACACAATCCCAGCCCGGAGTTCTCTTTATATTCGGAAGAAAAAAGCCATTTCCATCTCTAAAGCATTTTACAATACCTATTTGATGAGAGATTGGGGAAATAGTAATACACTGCTAATAAGAATGTAAGCTGAATTTTTCTATAGAACAATTTTAAACTCAAAATCTTCAAAAACATAAGAACTCCTTGATCCAGATATACCTCTTGTTAAGAAATATATACTAAGAAAATAAAACCACATACAAACATTTAGTTATGAACTGTATAATCCTACAAGATTGAAAGAAGGCAGTCTGAAAATGCTGCGTTCTGTCTAATTGTTTTTTATATTATGTTCTAGAAAAGGAGGTAAAACTATAGAGGTTGTAAAAAAAAAAAATCAGTGGTTGCCATGAGAGAAAAGGGGGATGAATAGGTGGAGTATAGGGAATTTTTAGGGTGTAAACTTCTTCTGTATGATACTGTAATGGTGGACACCATGATATTACACATTTGTCAAAACCCATACAACTACATAGCACAAAGAGTGAATCCTAAATTACGGATTGTAAGAAAAAATAACCAAAACAGTTTTGGCACCATAATGAAAGTACAAACAACCAGRACTGAAGCAGATCTCATCAGATTTAGCAATGCAGTTTATTTATTGGCAAATTCAATCATGCACCGGAGGGGCTCACTTTCTGGGTAGAAAATGGCCCTGATTACAGGAGAGGTCTGGGTTTATATAAGTTACACACTGGAAGATGACTTAACCCTTGAAGACTTTAACAGAACATATCAGTTTGGGCATTCAGGAAACAGGTTGTGAGAATTTGAAATTTGTTGTTACTGGGCACTGGGCAAGGATGGAGGGTTCAGAGTTCAGCATTCAGCACTTATCTTTTTCCCTCCAGGGTCTATTGTACTGTCCCTGGAAAAGGACTTCTTTGGGGAATGATTAATGTTTGGGCTTCTTTCCAGAGACTGTCATTTTAGGTTTGATGGATATCTCCTTCCCAGGGATTGTCTTGACACGGGGTGATGTTTGCTTCCTTCCCAAGGATTGTCTTGTCACTGGGAAAGGATGTATTGATAAAGGATCAATGTTATCAAAGTTTCGCCTTCTCCTCCTTCCCTCTTCTCAGGCCACTGTTTTGGGGGTTATCATTTCCATATCCTTCACAGACTTTAGTTAATTTTATCAATATTGATTTATCAGTAGTAAAACCAAAGAACCATATTAGGGGAAAATGGGGAGCTCTCTTGTACTTTCTGCTCAATTTTTCCATAAATTCAAAATTGCTCTAAGAAATAAAGCCTACATTTTTTCTTTTTCTTTTCTGTTCTCCTCCCCACCCCCATCCATCACCCCCCCAACCCCACTCCCATTCTGCTTTTTCCTTTCTTCTTTATATATGGCACAGGGAATTGAACCATTGAACTTTTAGTTCTTATACTTGGGTCTATAAATTAGTTTTGAGTTAATATTTGTTTGCAGTATAAGGATGAGATCCAATTTATTTTTCTCCTCCTTCTTCTTCCTTTTGCATCTGGATTGTTTACCCAGCATGATTCATGGAAAAAAAATTATTCTTTCTCAATTGAAAGGTCTTTGTCCCCTTGTCAAATATCAATTGACTGCAAATGTGAGGGTTTATTTCTAAACTCTCAGTTCTATTCCCCCAATTTATATGTCTATCCCTATGCTAGTACCACATTGTCTTTGTTACCACAGTGTTGTGATAAGTTTTGAAACTGTAAAGAGTTTTGAAGTTGTAAAAAGTTTTGAAATTGTAAAGTCCTCCTACTTTGTTCTTTTTCATGATGGTTTTGGCTATTCTGGGTCTCCTAAATTTCCATATAAATTTTACCACTGGCTTATTAGTTTGTACAAAAAGAAAGCCAGCTAGGATTTTGATAGGGATTGCATTGAATCCATAGATCAATTTTTCAGTGGGACAAATTTTCATCTGCTATGGTTTGAATGTATGTTTCCCCAAAAATTCATATGTTAGAATGCAAGATCTGGCATAATAGTATTAAGAAATGGGACCTGAGTCCTGAGGGCTCCCACCCTTATGAATGAGTTTGATATCAAAAAAGAGCTGGAGAAAAATARCTAAATTCCTTTCCCTTCTGTGTCCTCCAAGTGCAGACTCAGTGCTCTCCCTGTCTTCCATGTGAGAATGCAACAGCAAACAACACCTTGAAAGCAAAGAGTAGCCCTCACCAGACGCCTTWTCTACTGACACTTTGATCTTGGATTGCTCAGTTTCCCAAACTGTAAAGAATATGTTTCTCTTCTTTAAATTGTCCAGTCTGTGGCATTTTGTTACAGAATCATGTATGAACCAAGAAAACATTCTTTTTTAAAACAGTTTTTAATTGTAGATGGACACAATATCTTTGTTTTATTTATTTATTTTTCTATGTGGTGCTGAGGATCAAACCCAGTGCCTCATGCATGCGAGCCAAGCTCTCACTGAGGTTCAATGTACCCCGCTTATTTTTTGTGGGTTTTAGAGTAAAGTTCTGCACTTTGTTTGTTAAATATATTCCTAAATAGCCGGGCATGGTGGCACATGCCTGTAATCCCAGAGGCTTGGGAGGCTGAGGCAGGAGGATCGCAAGCTCAAAGCCAGCCTCAGCAATTTAGTGAAGCCCTAAACAACTCAGCAAGACCCTGTAATCTAAATAAAATATACAAAAGGGCTGGGGAAGTGGCTCAGGGGTTAGGAGCACTCCTGGGCTAAACAAACAAACAAAAATGCCTGATTAATTTCTTCTTTTCTTAAACAATTTTATGACTTTATTTAGCTATCAGCAAAAATATGAAAAGCTTCACAAATTTGCATGTCATCCTTGCGCAGGGGCCATGCTAATCTTCTCTGTATCATTCCAATTTTAGTATAGTGTATTTAGTTTTGATGATACTGTAAATGTGATTTGTTTTCTTCATTTCCTTTTCAGATAGTTTATAGTAAGTGTATAGAACCACATATATATGTATATATAATTGGTATTGTATATCATTGGTCTTGTATCCTGCAACCTTGTGGAACTCATTTATTAATTCTACCTTTTAGTGAATTCCTTTTGATTTTCTATATTAAAGAACATCTCATCTAAGAAACAAAGAGTTTGATCTTGTTCTTTCCAATCTGTATGCCCATTACTTCATTTCCTTGCTTAAATGCCTTATCTACAACCTTCAATATTATGTTGAATAGAGATGGCAAGAGGAGATATCCTGGGGCTGGGGATGTGGCTCAAGCGGTAGCGCGCTCACCTGGCATGCGTGTGGCCCTGGGTTCGATCCTCAGCACCACATACAAATAAAGATGTTGTGTATGCCAAAAACTAACTAAATAAATAAATATTAAAAAAAGAGGAGATATCCTTGTCTTATTTCTGATCTTAGAAAGAAAKCATTAGCAATTTGCCATTAAGATTGTCAAGAATGGGCTGGGGATATAGCTCAGTTGGTAGACTGCTCGCCTCCCATGTACAAGGCCCCTGGGTTCAATCCCCAGCACCACCACAAAAAGAAAAAAATAAATTAAATTTAAAAAGAGTATCAAGGGTTAATAGGGACAGTGCTTGCCTCACATGAACAAGGCACTGGGTTCAATCCCCAGCATCTCACACACACACACACAAGAATAAAGAATGTCAAGGATTGGCAGTGTAAATTTTGGCTGTGTGTTGTGCTGTGTGTGTGTGTGTGTGTGTGTGTGTGTGAGAGAGAGAGAGAGAGAGAGAGAGAGAGAGACTGAGAATTCACCTTAAGAAAACTTTACTACTGAGCTACATCCTTACCCCTTTTTATTTTTTATTTTGAGGCAGAGCCTCACTAAGTTGCTTAAGGCCTTGCTAAATTGCTGAGGCTGGCCTCAAACTTTCAGTCCTCCTGCTTAGCGTCCCAAATTGCTGAGATTACAGGTGCTTGCCACCACGCCCAGCTGTTTATTTATTTTTTTAAGACAAGGTCTCACTAAGTTGCTTAGAACCTCACTAGATTATTGAAGCTGGGCTCAAACTAGCAATTCTACCAAAGCCTCTTGAGTTGCTGGGCAGGAACTATCATGCCTGGAAGAAACTCCTTGTTCTGCATAGTTTGTTGAATCTTTTTATTCTGAAAGCATATTAGAGTGTTGGATTTCATCCAATGCTTTATCACTCTCCATTGAGAAGATCATGTGATTTATGTCCTTTATGGACATAGTGAGTTTTATTAAAAAAAAATAACATTCAGAAATTAAACCAACCTTGCATTTTGGCAATAAATCCTATTTGGTTAGAACATATAATCCTTTTATATATTGCTGAATTTTGCTTATGTTAAGGTGTTGTAGGGACAAACGAGGCAGGAAACAGTTTTATTTGGCTGCAGCCAGATTCAGAGGGTACAGTCTTTGCTGTAATCAATCAATCCCCTGAACCCCGAGTTCAGGGAGTTTCAGAGTTTTATACCCAGCATGTAAGAGGAGGGGCTCAGAAGTTCACAGTCTGCAGAAGTTCACATAAAAGCAGCTTTTTCTTTCACTGTTCTGGGCATGTTAACTCTTCAAGGACAATACCTGAGAAGGGTAGAGCTTCTTCTTTCTATCCTCCCTCTGCCAGCTGTTACCATGGAGCCCATTTGTAACTTATCTTGAAAATGTAGACATCCCTGTGAAGCCCAGCTCAAGGCCAGAGGCCTTGTTTGCACTTTTCTTCAAAGTACTATACTGGATACATTTGTGAAAAACTAGTAAGGGGGTGTCCAGCACCTGGAGTGCTGGTATCTTCTCCACTAGTGGCCAAGTAAACAGGGTGACATGAAAATAGGAAGTTTATCTACAATGGACTCTTTTGCTGACAGTCCTAAAGTCAGCCATGGTGAAGAGGGCTTCTCTGTGGAGAAAGGGGATGCCACTTTAAAG